AGCAAAGAAGCTTCCGAAGTTTCACAGGTTTCCTCGTACTTGTCGTCGTCGTCGTGTTTCCGTCGATGATGCTGTTATTGTTCTTGTCACTCATCGCGAGTTCCATTCAATTTTGCTCAGTATTTCTGCCTTTGCGGTTTTCATATGAAAGTGTTACAATGTCAAATTTACTCTTCTCTGTTTTCCTTTGTCATAGATATCCCGCTCATGTTTCAGCCTCTGCTCTCCTCATCTCTACCTAGTCTTGTAGGTTTGGGGTTTCTTGTAGCTGTTATTGTTTTGTTGGTTTTGTTGTTGCGGAGCAGGTGGTTGGAGACGGTGATTTTGTTGCTGTTGTTGTTGTTTTCGTCGTTTTTCATCTCTCTTTCTGTCTGTCTGTTTTTTCCTCTCTATCGATATCGTAAGGGAGTAGTATTCAATTTTTTCTTACTCGTGCCTTCAATAATATATATATTTATATATATATATATATTAACCTTTATATATTAAGTACTCATCGCGCCAGGATCGCTCACGTCTGTTTGTCGATTGAGAATCTTGTCTTGCATCAAGTTTTGCCGTCCGAAAGCTGATGTAGAGGTGTGGGTTTGATTCGCCGAAAATTTCTACCGCAATAGTTCGGGTATCACGATTTGATCATGGTTCCATGAAACGGTAGTCCGGATAAGTTCAGTAATTGAACAAGGTGGAAAAAGAGAATCAGCGGATCAGAACCGTTGAAAAAGCGAGCGAAGGGCAAGATACATATTGATGATGACCTCTATAATAAATAGACAATCCGTACTATAGGGATATATAACTAAGTCAGCACTTAAGTAAGTAGTAATTAATTAGTAAGTACTAAGTCATGGATAGATAGAATGAGTGGTTGTTTGCTTGATTGATTTATGGAATGGATGCATGTCGAGGGTGAAGGTATCGATGATGATCGAAGAATGAATCAATCTCGATTGGAGTGATCGCTTGAATGTTGATCGAGACATAGGCATAAATAAATAGTAAAGTGTGTTGTTTCATCTAATAGGGTCTGTCTCTCGCTTTCTTGTCGGGAACGTTTGATGACACTGTTTCATGTTTTTGGCGACTTTCGCTCGGCCGGACTTTTGAAACCGAATGTGAATTTCTAAAAGCCCTGAACGAAAAGTCATTTTTAATTGGTGTAATTGATAATAAATATAATATTAATGATAATAATCGTCTTCATCATCAGATAGTTGTATCGTAGCTGACAGTCTACCGATAATAGTCTCAAGTAATGAGAAGAAGAAGGACAATAAGTACATACTGATCGGTTGGTGTGTGACGCATGGCGGGAGCAGCGTAAGCTTGCTTGAGTCTCCGAATCCACGCTCAACCAACTGCCACCGGTAGCTGCGCGTGTCGGGCGCAATCGCAGACCGCAGACTGACCGATTGTTCAGCTGTCCTCCGACCGATGTGGCTGGGCGACAAAGCGTCAGCGACCTTCATCGGTGATTAGAGGTGCGATGATCTCCAACAGGATTGGAGCCAATATCGACTTTTGAAGCTGGCCTGTTTGTATGCTCTCTTTCCTCTGCGACGATTCCCATCCCCGGATCGCGGGGTCGGTTTCGTTCGATATCGAGGAGAACAGCATCGACAATTCAATCGGGGGCCGGGTCTGCACGTCGGCCTGTTGGTCCAGACGAACGACGAGCGCCGTTTCCAACGGTCAGGACCGAGCCCTACGGCAGCAGCAGAACAGCTTGGTGGTTGATGGTCTATAGACGACGACTACTACATCGGAGAAATACACACGGATCGAACGTATATGTCGCTTACATAAGAGTAATCATAAGAGTATAGGAGCGGCGTTAATATGACGGCGATATGCCGTAATGATCATAACGGCAATAATCATAGCAATATGAATCGATCGTAATCATCAGAAGAAGAATGAGACGAACAAGTACTATGGAGGTGATCTAAGCAGCTTGCCTTCGGCGTTGGCATAATCTTCATCATTTTTATAATGGTCATCATGTCCAGCACTCTGAAACTGTCTTTGCGCATCAAAATGGCGCTCGAGATCGCGTTTTCCTTCTCGACTAGATGGATCTGGGATAAGTCCGTGTTTCGTTCTCCCATTAGCTTGGAACCAGCTGATTGTAGTTTGTTTGTCGGATGGTTGCCTGCTTTGTTCGGTCAATCAAGATAAGGCGAAGGGAATCAGGGAAAATCCGAATGGATCGCTCCACTTCAGATGTATAGTCGTGATGCCATCCGTGAAAAACAGAAGGTACACAAATTGGAACCGTTTTCGGGTGCCTGCATCGAAGTATTCCGCCTGTTTCCGATTTCAATATTCGTTTTGTTTCCAGTAGTTTGTAGTTTCCCGAGAGAGAATTTTGATGAGATCTCGTTTGGCTTTCCGGTTGAGTATTCCATCTCATTCGAGAGAGTGGTACAGTGTCTGAATTGTTTGCTTGTCTGGTTTGTTTCTGGGGATGACGTGTCTTATCTGTTTGTCTGTTTCCGAGACATTCACTTGCACACACACAAATTCCTACTGAATTCCAAACTAGAGCAGTATATATATCATATACATATATATATAAATATATATAATATATATATGATGTATGAATCAACAAATTTCCGAGGGCATCGACGCTTGGTCGAATCGCAGAATCGAGGGACAGCTTCGCAGAAGCCTATTTTTTCATGTCTGCTCACTTTTTGACGGGTCGACATGGGACGCAAATCGTCCCATGAGCTCTGGAGATAGACTTAATCTTGTTCCGAAAGAATTGAGTGCTGAGGAGCGAGATCAGGGTCGATCTGTTTCTCGGCTCAGCGGTGTCGTTTCTCAATTTAATCGTTGTAAGCCATGTAAACTGTGTGGTCGAGTATTTTAATCGGTGTTATCACTGTTGTCGGTGGTGTTGAATTATTATCTGAGAGAAGATCGACGACGATCGGATTGAGCCGCTTCGCGAGGACGGATCTCCAATCCATCGAGTTTGTCACGGTTGTACCCGGTACTTTGCTCGAGAACGTCTGGATGGTATCGTCTGTTGCTTCTGTTCGTTTGTCTGATGGTTGCACGTGAAAGGCCAAATGAGTCGGGAATCTCAAATTTTTAATCGTTACCACTATAAGAAAACATTGCTGTTGCTGTCGTAGAATGTGGGTGGAGTGAAAAATGTGGCTATCGCCGTTTTTTTCTCGGTAAGCAGACGAGTACAGCATTAAGAATTCGTGGTGAGAGTATAGTTATCACAGTGGGGGCAAGTAGTTGTTGTAATAGTCATGGTGGTAATGTTGGTAGATGTAATAGTGGTTGCAAGTTGTTTCGTTCAGATCGTGTTTTGTTAAGCGATCTGTTTTCCTTCCAGCATCAATGTTTTCATAACTCTTATCATCGTCTTCTGTAGCAGTTTCAGATGTCGCTTAGTTACTTCTGGTGTTGCTTGTCGTTTCATTAACCTCAATCAACGTCCGCATGACAGAAGTCTTGCTTGATCGACGCGGATAGATTTTCTCTAGTACAAAATTGTTGTTGGTGTTCGTCTCTTTGTTACGGTCGATTCCTGGACGGGCTCCGTCGCAGGACGCGCCGCTTTCCAACTTTCCAGTCGATTTCTCCCTGGCTTGCTCACATATCAGTCTCATGTGATTTCGCTCACTCTGATCTGCGGAGCTGACTACTCTTGATGTAATCAATGCCAAACGTTTAATGTAAGCTTTATCGTCATTGTCATCATCGAAGAGTTTGTTCAATGGAGTTATCTATCATTTCTCGATGTCGTTGTCGTAGATTTCATGGTTGTTATTAGAGTTGATGTTGTCGTCGTTAGAGGGATGACCATCACTTCCGGATGGTGGTGCAGGAGCTTGGCTTTGCTCCTCCACTCGTTCAGTTGGTTGTAGAGTTATATTCACAAAATGGAATGTACGGGCATGCGGAGCGGCGGTCCTTCGTTCTTAGGAAGCCGTCGTCCGGTGGTGGGTTTTCTTCTTCGTTTCAGAGCGATAATGTCGACTTCGTGAGATAACAGTGATCTCTGTCCCTCTCTGACCTGACGCACCTGAGTTCGGTGATCGGTCGCGGACGCGGGGCAAGAGGCTGTACGAGATGAAGCTGCGCGCCGACAAATCGTCACTGGACTTTCCGGTTGAGTATCCTCGAATGGGCATCATCATCATCATGTATATCTTTGGTATCGATTCGATTTAAGTACGTTCACAGAGGGGCTGGGCCCGTATCGACTAGACGTTCCACTCTATCTATGCAACAAGTCGACCCGCCACACATCACAAGTTCTTGCAGCGAAATACATCGTGCCGGCGGCTCGGAGCCGTCGGCACGGCGCGGATTTCAATCGGCTAATATACAGTATATTTGTATGTATATATATATCTGAATTATAGAACATCTAGAACATTGTGGCGGACCGAAACAACGGCTAATTCCTCATCATTGGTAGGTAGGTAGGTATCGTCGTTGGGGTTGATGATGAACCAGGATGGAGGGGGAGGAATGAGAGGCTTGGCGGTGAGGAGGAGAAGACAGTGACAGGGTCGGAAGAGAGTTCTCAAGGAACTGGGATAGAAGAGGAATCTCCTGAGATCGTGACCATCCGACCAGGCTTTGATCGAACGGTGATAGACGGTGACAGATGATGGCGGTACGGGGTAAGGTGATTGTGATTGGTTGAGATGGGGGGAAGGAGGAGACGGAAGAGATGGGGGGAGGAGGAATGTTTGGGTGGATGGGGGGCGGTATACACAATGACTTGGTGGGTACTGCTCGGTTGGTAAATTGTTTGTTTCAATTAATTGAGTGGGGGTGAGCCGAATCACCTAGGTGTGTTGTTGCCATTAATCTCTTGATTTCGGAGTTGGTTCACGACGCGCAGCTACTGCCGCTGTTCTTGCGGCGGCGGCGGAAGATGGCGAAGTTGGCTGTCGTTGGTAGGAATCGGCGGCGAGATAGTCGGTGATACGGCGTTGTTTCGCTGTTGCTGTCTTCGTCGTTTAGGATTTGCCCTTGTTCGTTTTGAAGGACACCTGGAGAACTCGGTTACCCAAGGTGTATCCGTTCAGAGTCTGGATTGCAACCACGGCTTCATCATAGTTGGTCATAGTAACAAATCCAAATCCCTTGCACTTGTTGGTCTGGAGATCGCGGATAACCTTAACGCTTTGTACGGCGCCGAACGGGCCAAAGAGCTGCCATAGGAGGTTCTCCTCAGTGTCAGGAGCCAGGTTGTATACAAAGATACACCAGCCTGTGCCGTTTATCGCGTTACCCGCGAGTAAAGGAGTCGTGAGAATGTCACCGGCAAGAGGAGAGTACCTGTGATGAAATATTTTTGTTAGCTCGGTCGTTATTTCGTTATAACGCCGTGACGATGAACCCGATCGTTGCTAGACTCGTCTCTACCTTCGGATGTATGGGGCCGAATCCAAGAATTTCTCGGCCCCACTTTGCTCACGATATCGTAAATCAGCTAATGGTGATTCGCCAACGCTCCCAACGAGCTCGCGCTCCGGGCATTGGACTTCGTGCTTCGAGGGCACTCAGCTCACGCTGGCCTTGACGTTTTCATTGAACTAGTATTCGTTCAAAATTTCGTCGATATCGATTTCCTGCCCGTCACCGGTCCGTGCACGATGTGCAATCCGCATTCACTCCGGCTCGCCCACCCGTTCATCCACGAACATCCAGATGCTGGCATATTTTGTCGTCGACTCCGACCAATGGGACTTTGCCGAACTGCACAAAAGTTCGGATAGCGTGCTACAGAGACGGAACAAAGTTGGCTGAACATATAGGACACTTCGGTCGGTCGACCTAAGATTATCCCCAGCGCGGCGTGGTCCGAATAACACACACAGGGGGGCGGGTGAGGGGCTACAGATAGCAAGCTGTGTTGGAGTGTTGGATAGTCGAGCACGATTTGCGGGTCGAATGGTTATGACGTATATCCTCTGAGATAAGTTCCCGGCCCGGCTCAAAGTCGATTCGACTATGCAGCTATCGCATCTGGTATTTATGACGTGTTCGCCCATTCGTTCTCTGAGAACTAAGGAGCGTGTCCCACCGAATCAGCGAGGGAGTTCACATTGCCGGGCGAGCAACCCGAATGAATTCAGCGGAAATTCTCGGAGGGAAATTTTCCACGCTCCGCATCCTGGTGAACTTTCTCCGGGAGGTCCAATGATCAGATTCGACCGAATATCCTCCGGAAATTCACCGGCCGACCGCTCGGACCAAAATCCTTCGACCAACAGCGTTGCCCGCTAAACAAGGGGCCGAGAGAGGCACGCATCGCCAGGCGGACGCCACGCAGACTCGCTCGCAGAGGTTCGCGTTCTGCACCCTCGATTTTGAGGAAGCGGGCTCCGAGCCATCAGTGCGATTGATGTGGCGGAGAACTGAACCTCGTTGGGTTGGAGATCGTGTGGGCGTAGGGTGGAATTCCCCATAAATGGATGGAGTTGGTACATTATTCCTCAAGCAAACGACCGCTGCGCTTAACGCCATGGCGCAGAAGAGGGCTGGGGGCTTTGAAACAATTTTTCTTCTCCCTCGCACAGTCCACTCTTCTCTTCTGCGGAGCGAATTCGACTTCGCCCATGATCTCGATTCTTTATGCAGAACGACGCAGTATTATTATTGCAAGACACCATCCGGGCTCAAGGAATCTTCGATAGAACTTTTCGCTTCGGTCTACGAATTTCTTTACCTACGAGGTCGTCCCGTCAGATAAAAACCGAAACAAATTCAAGTTCCTCGATTCGTCATAAGCAAGAAAAACTGCGCGCTTGATCCGAACGTCCAACACAGCGTCTAATGTCCAACTCAATATGAGGGAGCGATGGCGAAGCAACATAAGCACAACAATACGTCAGCATCTTTTCTGTATCTAGTGATGTCGAGATAATATCGTTCTTGGAACGCTTCCAATCATCATAATAACAATAACAACAATCGCAGGTACGTAAGATTGATTGAACAGCTGGTCAGAGGAGCAAAAGCTCAACACAGGAAAGGATGTCCCCGACCGAAGTCGCATAAAAAGCAGGGGGACCTCCATCTTCAAGCAACTGATCAACCAATGAACGAACGCGTCATCAACGCGTGGATCAACAATAAATCTCATCGAACATAGTATCGAAATAATTTCTGAACATATGTATGTATATATATAGAAACATAAACCAGAAACGGGACGGCACCGATGCAGAAATACTGTCAGAGTGGCTGGGGAGCGCGCCGACGTGTTTTCCCCCCTAATGAGGGGGGAGAGAACCAACGACCGCGACTCGATCAGGGAATCGGGGTTGTCATCCCGGTGGGATGAGAAAAAAGATCGGCGAGCTCCCTACAGCCGGAAGAGAAATCCAGTCTTCGAACAATGAAGAAGACAGCATCATTAAAGAAATTGATCTCACGGCTTGTCCCGTACCTGGCCGAAGGGTTCGATGCGAGTGGCGATGCGGCAGCCGCAGAGAGCGGTGGAAGGCCATACCTGAATCGGTTGGCAGGATGGTGGATGGGCCCAGGGAACCGTCTCTGCGGAGAAAGGTATGCCGCCAGGGGTGCAATGGCCTTGGCGTTGTTACTCGGATTATTAGCGAATTTAACCGTAATCGCTTCTGTCGCACCCTCAGGAATCGTATTGTGAAGATGCTTGATGGCTCGCTCGGCTTCCACGCGCTGGTCGAAGCGCACGAAGCCGACGCCTTTGGAAAGTCCTGAAACGAGGAAAAATTACAAATCGTTACAAGTTGACCCTTTCGACTCTACGGACACAACTCGCGAGAGGAGCAATCACCGGGACCTTCGACCCATTCCTTGATGTCTGAGCCGAGCAGCCCGATCTTATTTATTCGCCCTTAACGCTGGTGGGAGTACGCGTCTGGTGGGACTATTCGCGGCAAACATGGAAGCGCGCGAGATGATCATGAGGCTGATGGTCCGCCGCGTATTAAATGCAGACGGGCACCGGCAACACGAACACCAGGGACTTGAGCACGCAAAAAAAATTATCGTTGTCTTCGGAGCCTGTGAACCCGCTTTGGGGAATTCATGTTCGTAATAGTCTCGCATGTAAGACTTCGACACGCGTAAGAACGTCTTTTCTCTTCGTGAGAGTATCAGCCTGCGGGAAAGGCCGCGACCAGTCAACGACGGTGCGTCTCAGTCATCATTTTAATCGCTCACCAGGAGGCGGTCAAAGACCTTATGGATGAAATCGAAGATCAAGGAGGGCACGTAGGGCGCTCGGCCCCCACTTGTTTGAATCTCAGAAATCTCCAAGAATACGTCTCCGTCACGGTTATCGAATCACGGACCGAAGGCGAGACACTCGGTGTTGGAACGAGGCCCGACGAATGCGGTCGTCCGCCTCGTCATTCGCGACACGTCGCGAAGCCTCCCGACGACCGTGCGGGATGGAGGCTTGAGACCGGGAAGCGAGAGTGTATTTCCCCACCGGTTCTCTGGAGAATTGTTACCCCTTCCTTGTTCAGGATAGGCCGCTTGTGGTCGTTGTCTTCCGAGGAACTAAGTCAATCCCCTTCGTTAGTCTCTTCGTTAGCGGCTCGGACCGGAGCATTCCTCAGCAGACTCACTTTCTCGCGCTGGGCTCATGGCAGCAATGCATGAGGCCCCATCGATTCAGACGTTCGGTTTTCCTCGCTCGCGCGTGCTGCGAGGTTCCCCTGGTCCGAGGGCCCCAGCATTCTCCCACATCGGGAATCTCGAACTTCCTTCCGGGACCTCGGCTCGGGCCGTGTCTGCTCATGCAGCCAACCATCTAACAAGGTGTGCAGGAGTTCGATGCTGTCAGCTCAAGGGCTCCATCCATGGCGATTCAAACTCGTTTCCCAACCAACACCCTCGACACATCCTGACATCCGACCGGCGATTCTTCGTTTTTACGACCTCAATTAACCACCCCGTGGCGTCGGATTCTGCCATTGTCATGCAGATCGGCTGCGGCAACAGCAGCGGTAAAACTAGTGCTCGCACCGTACCGGAGAAGTCAGCTGCTGCCCCAGCGGTCCTGCTCGTGGCGAGAAGCGCAGTCGCCTCCTTCTTCCACCGGACGGACCGTCCCCTCGACGACAAAAAAAGAAGATCGGCAACGCCCGTCAGCTAGGGACAGGATTAGCGGAGGGATGGAGGTCCTCAAACGAGGGCACGAAGTCATATTCGTTCTTCCACTATCTCCCCTCGGTCAACTGGCGACAGAGGAAAAGGCAGGAGAAGTAAAACCATTCCCACGAAATAATCGGTTCTCTCAATATCCTTCATTCGAGCCGATCGAAGGGAGAAGGGGAAAAATAAATGGAGTGCTCCCTTGGAAGAGTTCGACCGGCCTGCTTATACGCTCGAGAATCTCGTCGTTCGCGTCAAACTCTCTCGAGAGGGAGGCGGTTCCAGCGTCGAACAAAGCCCGTCTGAGGAATAATGAAATCACACAAGAGTGGAACAGGCTTTTAAATAGAAGCTACGCGGCTGTTCGGAAACAAATGAAGAGGACAGTTAGCCGGCGCTACAAAAACGTGATAAAACTCACAAATCCACATACATAGGAGGGAAGCAGACACTAAATGGCTTTTTGCTCTTTCTCCCGTGCAGTCCGCGCGGGCCGGCTCACTGGCCGGCCATGTGGTTTCGTTTGATATCCGTCCGGGTAATGTATTCCAATCGCCGTACAAACGGATGGGGAGCGAAATGACGAACGAAAGTATGTATTCCGATAGTGGAGTGGGCAGTCGCAGCCGCCGGCCGGCCGGCAGTAGAAGCTCCGAGCCCGCCGGAGCCGCCGCGGCGTCCTCGCTCCGAGCGCTCGACTAAAAATGGAAACGGCTAAAGCCTTTCGGCGATTTTCCTATCGTCGGTGAGCAGCCGGATTACGAACATCCCGCCATCATTTTTCCACGTCTCCGCGTCTCATTTATCGCGCTTAGAGGTATCGGGAATCACGTCAGGCACGGAGAACAGACAGGCTTCGCGCTGAAGGAACACTGAAAAATTGGAGGATGCGATGAAGTTTCGGGCTCGAACAAAAAAGGAGAACTAGTCGAGGCAGATGGAAGGGAAACTCGGGGATGTTCGATCTATGTACGCTCACGACGACCTGGAAGGGCGCCTCCGTCTTTGCCATGACCATCAACTCCGCCACCACGACCACCGACACGACGGCAGAGCCGTTCGCTGCCATCAGCACCACTAAAAATGCCGATCGCTGGGATACGTCTAACGGCTAGACTGCGACTGATCCCAAAGACCAAAAGATGGATCAGGCTTCTTCCTTCGTTTTTTTTCTCCGGGCGTTTCGTCAGCCCAGAGTGGCCGAGTCACCCCCCAACGTCCGTCAATACAGCACCATTGCCTGTCGTCGGTCTTTCACCCGTCTGCCCGTCCGGCCCACTCTCTGGTTGCGCTATTTATCCTCACGCCGAGCCCGCACAGTCAGGACATTTAGGACATTTCGCAATTTCTTAACGCCGCCGCCGGGAGCGGCTACGGAACAGCACCCACATCGATGACTCCGTATTCTATTTCCCGCCACGAAGATTCCCTGCAGCTTCCCGCTGACAGGACGTCCGATCCTATACGAAACCCGTCAGGAGCATCCGAAGGAAGAAGGGATACGGTACCGATCGGACCTTGATGATGGGATATTTGTATTATTTGCTCGCTCATATCTCCCATCGGCGGCCTCCTGAATGCCTCGGTCAAAGGATTGCATCGCTCCGCATGTACCGCTACAGGTCGTCGCGGTCCGGGAACCTTTTCAGCGGTGGAAGAAAGACCAGACGTGCGTGTATGTATAGAGGTATGTACATACCAGTGATATTGTCGCAGAGAATTCGGGAGGTAATTATGCCTCCGTAGGGCGCAAAGAGCTGTTCGAGATCTTGTTGTGTCATTGACTTTGGAAGTCCGCTGACATAGAGGTTCGCTCCCTTTATAGCCTCGCTGCTGGGGCGGGCGTAGGAAACCTGAAATAGAATCAGACTCGTGAGTGAAAATTAAATCCGATCCGACGACCGATTATAGCCATCAGCAGAAAAACTGAATCCGTGACGCTTTTCCCTGTTCCGATGCCGTAACTCCCGATATCCGGACGAGAAACTTGACATAGCTGAGCGGTGAGGGGGGATCGGAGGGTTCCTGTTTTGCTCCGTTTCCTACCGAAGACTGATCTCAATCTCTCCCGGATTTTTTTCGGCGCACTCGCCTAACTCTTTCCGTCGGATTAGACGCGACGTCGGGCAGTATCGATTTCGATTCTAGGTGGAGTCGGCGGCCCACACCGGGCGCCATGCGTTTTGGGGAATGAGTTAGCAAGCTCTTTGGCGGTTGGTTTCCCCTCTCGCTCTCCGTCGGTCGGTATTCGACGGGAATTACGTGATCGGTTCCAGCCGGTCGAATAGCGGTCATCTCAGGATATATTAAAAGTTCTATTGCGTCCCTTCCTCTCTCGCCCGTTCTCGTTTTTCCCCCGTTACCTCGGTCTCGTTCTCTCCATTCCAACGCACGGGACGGCAATAGGGACAAAAACCCCACGACACGGACGGTGGCCGATGTTAGAGACGAGGCGGCCGACATCAAGCACAAAGCGATCCTCAGTCTCATCGGCAACGAAGGTATCAACTTTCTCGTCCCATTGAAATTCACAGCACGGATCTAAACGAGGGTCTGAGCCGACGACGCCGCCGCTGCAGGCGGGGAAGCAGGCGTAAAGAGGGGAGGGAATCAGAGGATGAAAGGAGAGGGGAAACCTGGGGCTCTGGTGGATGGATCCTATGGAACGGGGCAAGCTGGCAGCCAGGCAGGCCGGCTGGTTGACTGGCTGATTCGCTGACTGAGACCCATTGCGTCGGTGATCGACTGTTCTCGTTGTGGTTGGTGAGACTGGGCGAGAACTCCTCAAGATTATCGGGGAGCTCCTCATCGCTCACGAGCACCGTCTCAATCTCTGGCTCGGTCGGAGATGACGCAAAAATCGACCGACTTAGCTGAGTGAGTGCAGGAAATGGAAACACAGTGACGGGCTAAGCCACCTCGCTGAAACCAACTCACGGATAAAAGCAAGCAGCTGGAAGCCGAGCCCCGGCCGCCGCGATGTACGTGCGAAACCGTCGGCGTCGACTCGATCCCTTCCTTCTCTTTTTGCTCTAGCTGTCGGTCTCCGATCGGAAACCCCACGATGCGAACCCGGCCGTAAAATATATTTTGTCCTGGTTGCAAAATCACAACACTCGTTCCTAGAACCGGATGGATAGTGGACTCAGCGATCGGGATGTTCACCGGCAGCCGGGGGAGGAACGCGAAAGAAACTCCGACAGATAAAGGAATCCGAGGGAGTAAGAAAAATGGAACAACGTTCTCTGACCGCGAGAGATTTCCCGAGCGAGACGAACAGACCGACCGACCGGCCGGCCGAGGAGGTGACCGATGTCCGGGAATGGTAAGATCCGATTATTGATGCTTCAAGGGCTGGTCGGGAGGAGAGCGCAAGATGAGTGGGCTTTTTTTCTTCGGAGAGCTTATTTTTTTGGGCTCTTCGCTCGCCTCGGGCGAACCTCTGCGGCTTGCTCCACTTTGTATGCTGGCTCACTCGCTTTTATCCTAATTCACTACTGGCTTCAATCGATGGACTTGGGAAAATGAGACCTCGCCAAGAAAAATGAATAGGCTTAATCACCGGTCCAAATCTAGCGCCGAGTGCTCTCTGCCCGGGGGAAAGAAAAAATCGAGAGCTTCAAGACATTTCTCTCCTTCTCCTGAAAACGGTCTCCGGCTCTGCGGAGAGATGTCCAGGGAGCTGCCGTCGCACTTTGATACCGCAAAGTTTAGGTGAGCCAACACTCGTCATAAATATTCACGCCGACCAGGGGCGTCTGGGTTTGCTCTTTCGGGTGTTCTGAGCGGTCGAAAGTCACGTGAATACATTTTTCAACCGTCCGGGATTGGGACTGACTGCTTGAGTCGACTCCTCATCGGGGAACCTCACAACGCACGCGGCTACGTATCCTTCGTCAAACGACGCGGCTGAAATCGTGACCTTCCGATGGCGCTTCCGTGTCAGGCGTACCGCATTCCGAATTGAAGAAAATCGATTCCTGAGCTCCGTCGCGGTATCCCCGAACCGCATCCGCAACAAAGAAATAGGGACTCGAGGAAAATATGTGCAGACGATCGCATATGGACCCGGGACATCTCGGCTAACTGAATAGCGGGCAGGGCATAAAAACTTGCGGATCTCCGCCGCGAGACTTACGCTCCAGAGACGGGAAAAGTCCTGCGCCAAGGAATATCAGTCAGCTCGTGGTCTCAGAGCTTCGAGGAGGCAGTCGACCGTCCGGAGATCCGGTAAAAAATCAAGAGGAACGCGAGACACCGAGTGACAGATGTGCGTCGCGTCAGTGAACGACCACCGGCAACTCGCGGGGTGGATGAGGTATTCGATCTTTCCCCCTCCCTCGACCGTCGCAGGTGATCATCTCGACCAGCGGTGGCGACGGCGGCCGAGGCGGCGACGTCGACGTTCGGGGGCAGCGCAAACCTCAGTCTCGGCATCAGCCTCGAGCCCGACCTGATCGTCGAGCTCATCTTCATCGACGTCCTGTCAGCACATTACCATCCGCTCCGTTGCACCAGCTTAAGACGCTTCCCGGAAGGACGAGATCCTTAGCTTCCAATCTATGATCCCGTCCTGCTCTCGCGACGACTTTCCCTCCACCTAAACTTCCTTCCGGCGACTAGTACTGCGTGCCCACATTCGATTCTCGTAGCTGGCTGCTTCTGGGTATTTCCCAACTACATCACTCGATTTTTTTCAGTAGATGCAAGGCGATCGCATTATTCAGAAACTCGAGGCCGAACGTCTAGGAGGACACATTTCCGCTCAAGACTGTTTCAGGCTGTGCAAACAGCCCCTTCAGGTCGCAGGCGGCAGCTCCTGAATCCGATCGCGGGGCATATCTCCAGTGTACCAACAAACGCGAGCATTCGCTCGTTCTCTTGAAAGCTATTCACACCAAACATCCGTCGTAGCCCGAAGGCTGGAGCCGGACGGCGACAGGCTCGCTGCTTGGTGATTGATCTACCGGATGGCTGCCTACGCAGGCCGGAAAAGACACCGAGATCAGCCACGAGGAGAATAGCGGCTCTCGATATACGGCCTGAGAGGAGGCCCGCCGCCAGCGGATCTCTCGTGGAGCGCTCTGATTCTTCAGCCCTCGAGTGTCGGCGATGAGAAATTGCTCGAAATTGATCCGAAGAAGTTATTTGATCTCCGAAGTGGGTCATACTCGGAGCCGGAGTTCAACTCCGGCAAGGACTGATGAGGGAAAACTCGAGAATCTGACAAACGCCTCAATATCGTTTTCGGAAGTCACTCAGATAAAGTTCGGGGAATTGAAAGCTCAGTCAGAGGAAAAGTGGAAACACGACGAAAGATAGGAGAACAGTTCCGAGGGGAAGAGGGACGAGATGGGAGGGAGCAGCCGAAGAGGAGAGAAGTGGGGTAGCGGTGAGAGACACCGAGAGCGACGGCAGGGCAGCGGAGAGGCTAAAAATTACTGTTATCAAACATCCTTTCTCCACTGACTTGGATGAGTCATGCCGACCGAAAGTAGACAGAGAGCCTCAAAGTATTCGAGACGGAGGAAAACCGATGTTCGAGAAACTCTCCTAGGGTTGGATGACGAAACCGCCCTGTTCTGGATTGCCCTCCTTCACCGCAATTCCTCCCTCACTTTCAACGACTGCTAAAAATGAACTACAATTCAGATGGTGACGATTCAGATGGAGCCCTGAGAGCCAGAGTAGGCGGGAAACGGTGAGGATGAAGAGAGTTACAGTCAGAACCAAAGCGGTATGACCCTGAGAACCGCGTCCCCCTGCTTCTAAATATACGCCGATGACGTCAATCGTCCAGACCAGCGAAATTCCCCAGATCGCCGTCAATATAAAACAGAAAGTCATTGGGCTTTCATGGTCACGGGCCATCCCTCCCCACAACTGGTACCCGGCACTGCATCGCACTGTCATCTTTATTGTCTTCAAAAGCGAGGTACCTGCCTTCGCTTCAAAGAGGGAAGCGTTCACACTCAGTCCTGAGCCATCGGCTGAATCCGATGCGACGTCAGAAGCAAACGACTGGCTCAGCCAACTCATCAGTCCGTCACGCGTCCGTAGGGGTCGTATCCCGTGGCTTTCTCCGAATCGTGCCGCGGCTCAGTGTTCGGATCTACGACTTCGCGGCTCGGGGCTCCGGGCCGCGGAATAAGCGGTTGGGAGGTGGGTGACGTTCGTCGGGGGAGATCGGAAGATATACCTCCTCTCGACACGGCGACGACCACGGTGGCACGACGCCCCCGTCTTCGCCTCTTCCAGCCGAAACGATCCCGAACATGGACGACTTCGAGAAGTAAATAAACTTCCAAAGAGAGAAGTATTCCACCTTGACCCCCAGCATAAGCGAGACGGGGTTCGAGAGCTGGAGGAGGAGTTCTAGGCTTGAGTGAGATCTGTATATAAACGGCAGCAGAGAGGTCATGACGAGCGAAGATTTAGGGCGAGGAGGGAGCGGGGGCGGGTTTGTTATGTTGCTAACGGTATCGGCGATGATTCTTCCGGCTCACAGGAAACGACAGGAAACGCTCGACGGCGCGGCATATTCGGATAACCTCATTACTGCCGGTAACTGCTCGCTCAACGTCTCTCCCCGCAACTCCTCCTGACGTTCTCCCACCGTCGTCGTCGTCGTCCTATCTCTGGCCGGCCCGCCTGCCCGCCTGCCCGCTCGCTCGCCCACCCGTCAAGCAGCCGGCCGCGCGAAATGGTGGCCGGCTAACGCCAACAGGATAACGGTCCGTGTGCGAGGGCTAGCCGATCGGCGAGTCTCTGGGAGGGCAGGTCAGCCCGATAGTGGAGCGGCTCCTTGCGAAGAGACCCGCCAACCGAGCAACCACCACCGGGAGTCATGTCC